AGGGCAACAACGCAGGCTTGCGTTGTTCCCCTCCAAGGCCTGCAAGTTTAAAAAGTCAGCCCTTTATTTGCGAAGATCCCACCAAGAGAGCCACGAGGACAGAGCTGGCAATGGATTTGAGAAAGCGCTGGAGTTAGTGTTACAGAAGCAGCTTGCTTGTTTGCTAAATGAAACATCTGCAGTGCTTGCAATCAGAATTTTACTATGCTTAACAATTTAATATTGAGAGAAACAATTTAATATCAAGAGACTATATTAGCTGTCAGTAATGTGATCAACATTACCAGTAGTTCTTAAACAAATTAAGCTGCTGCCCAGCAGGGCCAGACCACTAATTAGCAGGTCCCAAAGGGAGCTGGTTACCGTGCAAGGCAGTAAGGTGAAGAGGCTGGGCAGAACCTCTTCTTCTCTTTGTCCAGCTGCCAGAGCTTTGGTTAGTAAGTCCACAGAGATTCCTGGCATCAAAATGACTTACATCTCCCCTCAGGGCACGCATAGTATAGCACTTTCAGAGGCAAAAGTCTGCCTTAAGTTCATAGTTTTCAAATCTTGATTCCTGATGCTAGGTCTGAAATTGTAACTTGAACTTCTACAGGTATTGGGAACCTGCGTGTACTACAGAGCAGCTGAACTTGCAGCACTCAACCACGCTGAAGACTCAGGACATTCAGGTAAATCCGTGAGAGCCTCTTTTTAAAGTGTTTAGCTGAAATTAAAATGTTCATTTGAAAATGTTGAGCTTAGTGTAAAATCTAGGGTGTCTTCTGTGGTCTGAACAGTTTATGTGGAAAGAACCTTTATTCCACTCAGTGATAACTTTGGTCAATCCCACAAATTTCTCACAAATAAAATTTATTTTTGTGGCTATCTAATAATTATTAGACACAACATATGCGTCCAATATATGTTTTTAAAAATCAGTATTTTAACTGACGGATTGTTAATCTATTATCTCTGCTTACATGATAGCAATTAAGAATTTTCGAAAGTATCACAATGTTCCCCTGAAACAGGAAAATAAATAAAATAAACAGGTCCTTCTTAAAATGAGCATATATTTAAGAGTCCAGAACTAATAATGTACCATCCCCCTTATAACCCTTACTTAATCTCAACTGTTCAGGAAAATTATATTTAAGCACAAAAAATACTGTCTTTCAACAGTCAGTGTTTGCTCCCAAGTGTTACGTTAAAGCAATATGCAAAAAGTGTCAACAACAATCAAAAATCAAAGATGAATTATTCTAGAAATATATTTTTAATGCTAATGAACCTCTTCTCTTTGGTCAGAATCTTTCATTTTTAACACACTTCTGCTTTTGTACGTCCAGCAATTTTAAACATGTATATATATTTGATTTTAACAGATACATAGTACAATAGGAAAAAGAAATGTGTGACAGGAAATTTACACATGCTAATTTTTGATTCTGCAATAATGAGTAGCACTATAGTACATGTTTCCTTTCTGCAGTGGGAATTTAGAAGTCTATAGGGAATGCAATAAATATGTCAGTGGAGAGCAGGGAGAGAGCTGTTCAAAATCACGTCCAGACACAGTCTCTTGACAGAAATCTGCTTCCTTCAGTGTCTGCAGTTCTCACTATGCAATACGGTGAAACATAAGCACTCCACAACAGAAACCAATACCAACAGGCATTTGCAAGAGCCTCTTAAGATAGTTTCCCCCACCTTCTTTCAACACTAACGCAACACAGAATATAATAAGGTGCAGGTTTTTGGCTATGAATGCTCAAGGAGTCTCTGAAATGCCCTGCAGCGTGCTGTATGCTGCTGACACAAGAGCCACTGCTGTCAGGTAGCCAGAAGCCCCCCGACTCTGACATGTCCTGGGGCTTGGCCATCTCAAGTTTATGTGGTTGTTCCCTATCAGGCAGTCTCTCAAGGAAAGCAGCCTCACAGGGAAACCAGGCTACTGTGGGTCTAGGCCAGTACTTCTCAAGGAAGTAAAAATTAAGCTTACCGAGAAACAGCTAACGTAAATTGCAGACTAGGGTCAGATTCTGCTGTCCTTCGGCAGGACCAGAAGTACTCTGACGGAATGAAAATAAGAACGGGCAGCATAGTGGGAAATGAATCATTTTGGCTGATGATGTAACTGATGGTATACTGAGTGGACTGTTGTAGCTCAGCATGCAGAGAGTATAAACTGGTACTCCCACACTTCCTTCCCCTTCTCTGCCATTCCACTAGAGCCTCATAAGGAGGACTTGAGGTTAAACAAAATGTGTTCTAGATGCCTCCTATGTCATGCTATGCTTTTTTGGTGTTCTGCCTTCCTTTACTGGTTCCTATTGAGAATCAAAATTGGAAACTAAGGAACAAGGGATTGTGTCGTGCTGTATGTTGGGACCCAAATCGTGACCTACAGGATACATCAGCAGAGTAGACACGAAGTGAGAACTTGAATAAAGATATTAACGAGAACAGTACTGGGATGGAGTAGTATCTTCTTCCTTCTAGTTTTGGGAGACACTTTGCTGAATATATAAGTAATTTGCCATGGAAGCTAAAGGAAGTCTATTCATTCCTAGTCCTAAAGAGGATGCAGAGAGTTCTGCCAAACTTACAGCTGCAGGGGACTCTTAAGTCATGGCTTATTACTAGGGGCAAACAAAAATGCTTACACGAACTTTAGTGTTCGCACTCAATGCTGTGAAACACCGTAACATAAGCAATTTACTAAAGATAGCCTTAGCCCTTTGGGACATACAGATGCTTCCCCTTGACGTGACATGTCATGGACCACCAATCTATTGCACATGAAACTCAATCTTCTGCCTCCTTGCCCCTTCCAGAAATCCACTAGAAAGCAAGCTGGTTTCCTCACAGTTTTTCTTATGTCCCCAGTGTCCTGATGCAAAAAATGGAACTCAGATAAATAAACGGATTGCTCTAAAGATAGGAACTCAGGGGGTAGCCTTCAATTCAATAAGCAAAGGATACAGAAAGTTTGCAGCTACTATTTTAGTCTCTAAATTAGAACACTGGCTCTTTTGTGAAGAATCTGAAACATCTGTACAAATAAACATAAGCAGGACAAAGCTGTTCCTCCCCAAAATCGTCTCCTCCCACAACATCCCGTTTTTTGCAGATGTAAGAACGCCTTCTCTGTGTGCACACACTCTGGTTAGTCACTCTGCATATGGTGCATGAAGGTGTAACTCCTAGGCTGAAGTAGTATAGAGATGCCAACCCAAGATGCATTACCCAAGCAAAAATACAGTATTTGAGGGGATCATGCTTGCTACTCACACTGTGCACACCCAGGGCCTTCCAGATGGCAAAACTGAGCAAACCAACTCCACACCATGCGTAGAGGGAGCCCCATCCTAGGGCTCGTAAGGCCAGTGACGAACCACTCTCTGGTAATGCAGCTGTGGCAGTAATCCCCTAGAACCAAAAATAAAGTGGTCAAGAAAAAGTGAAAAATGATTGGAAAAAAACATGAACTAAAAAAGTTAACTTAGTGATCTAGAATTTTTCCTGACTTGCCAGCTGTACTAGTGTGGCCACAGAAACTGTTACGGCTGCCAGCAGACCCAAAGAGCCAAGGAAGGGGGTGGATGAGCTGCCTTCCCACCAGGAGCAGCTTTCGTGGTTGCCAGTACCACCTGAAGATTATTTTTATTACCCAGAAATGCTGAAGTCAACTGTTTTGCAGGCACAAGAATCCAACACTCGGTTATCCCACCAGTCAAAATACAAAAGTGAACCAAAACCAGTCACAAGCCGTTATGCCACTGACATGAGAACATAATCATTGTACGACATTGATTTTGGTACTTTTTCTTGGGGTGGTAAGGGTGGTGGGCAACCATTGGACTACAGGTCTTTATCTGCACTCCTGAAACAGCAGATTAGTAAACTGGAGGAACCCGAGAGGCTTTCAGCTTGACGCAGAGAGGGTATAACAGTGACCGAGAGACTAACTTCCAGGGGCTGCAACTCTGAAGGATCTCTGGAAACTATTTAGGAAAATTTTGCAAAGAGCAAACAACAACGCTGAATGCATCCCCCTGCAGAGTTCACCAAGTGGCAACATAGAAAATGCTCTGCAGTCTCCATGCTTCTCATTTTTGTCAGAAACAAGAGTAGGTGTTTTTAACCACTTGTTAAGGTACTGCTGCGTAAGAGTCTGCCATGAGATGTGTCCTGAAAACACAAAATACCATCACTTGGAAAAGCCACCTCAGGCCAAGAAGAACAGAGCCTCAGCCGTGATGGGGTCCCAACCACAATGGAACCTTCTCTGTCGCAGCACATAAACGCACATGGCAGCTAGCACGGGCATAGGCCACACGCTGGCTGACATCAATCAGTTCGCACTGCACGTTCACCGTTGGCCATCCGTTCTCATCTCACAGCACCCACCTTACGGTACCTATCTGGTACAGGACAGCTTCAGTTTGTGTAGCCCGCACCAGCAGTAAGACAGACATAATCCTCTTGCTCGTAGTGGTTAATGTCAGCAAGAGGGTTTGTTTTTTCCCCCCCCAAAGGATCACTGTTCAGTTCTTCACATGGAAACATAGAATTCAGATGGTAACTGTTAAAGACTGGCATCTACGCTTTTTATGCAACTGAACAGTCCTACTTACTTACTGGATATCTCGGGGGAAAAAAAACAATTATTGCTCAGAGGTAAACATAAATGAGACTGCAAGCATACAAATACATTCAACAAAGAATTATTTCATTTATAGTCTAAAATACTGAAAACTTGCAGAAGGATCCAAAAAATTTTCCTCCAAAACATGCCAAAGAGCTGCACTTTTCTATTCATCACAAAAAGTGGGGGGAAAAAAAAAAATCTTTTGTATTCTTGCTTTAAAAAGACTTTAATTTTTTTTAAATGGTTCTCTTTCTTCTTTGATATAATTAAACGTATGTAGTGTCTATCACTATGGTATTTGGTCAGTGAAATAGCACCAGTAGTTTTTTTCCTCTTGGCTTTGTATTTATTGAAATGTTAAAATGATCCTCAGACAGTCCTCAGCATTAACACTTTTCCTTAGGATTTAGCTGAAGGCAGTTACCCAAGGACAAATACACACTTGCAAAGGGCACAAGCAAAATCCATCTTGATCCTTATTTATTCTGATTTGGACATCCCAAAGTGGAAGCTGTTAACTTAACAATGCTCTGTAAGCATACACATACATGCACACAGACACAAGCAGCAGAGATCTCTGGTCACGCTGTTATACCAGGTCCTATTATTTCCTTACCACAGCTAGTGAACTTTCCTAAGTCTTCCAGTAGAGACTGCTTTGAGTAGATTTAAAATGCTGATGATTATTTCTGACATTTCTCCTGCTTCCATAGTCTAACCATATACAACAGCATGCAGGAAAACTTCTCCTATTTGGAAGATGGGAAACGAATGGACAAAAATATCCTCTACACAGAATCTTTAAATAGGAGTCATTATCTGTGAAAATTGCTGGCAAAACCCCACCGCCACCCGAATACTATTTAAATGCTTGATTGCCCCAGAAAAATAGTGGTAAATGGAAACAATTGATCTGGTTTTACTGACAGCAGCCAAACAGCGTTCAGTCACAGGCTGATTCCTCAGGGTATTAAGTACATAGATAAGGATTTCTGTAAACAAGACAGTTTGTTTTATGATTATCAGATATGCTGTTTAGAGCATTAAGAAAGCTGATTAATGAAACACTAAAAAATTTTAAAAGACAACAGTAGCATGGGAGAAAAAGATGTCACCAACAGAAAAACATTTTTAAGAGAACTGAGTTTTATTCACAAGCCCATTATTCTATGCACAGATGTTTTCTCTTCATTACTGCTCCTATTTTTTTTTTTAAAAGTCAACTCTTTAATCTAAAAAATAAGCTATTAAACAATACGTGAGTCTTTCTAAAAACGAGGCCAGGAAAATAGAGGGCAGAATTAGCTGATTTGGTTACCAAAGTATATGCTTCATATTTAATTTTTTTTTTCCTGACAGATACAAGCAGGAAGTGGGAGAAGGAGAAATGACATTGTTTTTTTCAGACACAGGCCTCAATCCTGTAACTATCCCCTTGTGGGTAAGAGTGTGTCTGAAAGGAAGCAGTGCCTAAAATAAATGGTGTGTTCAACCGTTTTGGTTGATTGTGTTCAGCGTGTTCACTGTTTTGTATGACCTAACCCACTGCAAAATTAAACACCTGGATAAATGCTGGTAAAACTGGACACTTACTACAAGGAGGCTGCTGCATCTGAGCATTTAACACCCCCCCACACAACAATTTCTTAACTGAAGGTCTCTGTAGCGGTTCACCACTAAACAGGATTATGTAATCTCAGTTTCGAGTCAATTTGGGTGCCAGTCCTACAAGTGCTTACATTTACTTTACTTCACTAACATGGAGGAGGTACAGTAGGTGCAATTTCAGCTTTATCTCTTGCCAGTAATGTTGATGCTACTCTACAAGAATAAGGTCTCATACTGTTGCTTCCTGGAAGTCTGAATGCAGTCATGAAGCCATGATGCTGTGATGCTACAACTTCCCCTCTAAACTGCTATTTTTTTCTCCCATAAAACTATTTAAAGCTGTCCCAGGCTGCATTATGTTTGCTTCCTGTTTCTACCTGACTTGCATGCCGCCATGTCACTGACACAAAACCTGGCACAAGCCAGCAAAGATGCTGAAAGAATAGCTCTCGCATTTCTTCCCAACATTGAGCATCGATTCTCATTCCTTCGGATCTTCCCCCAAGCTTGTGCCAGCACAGTCACTGAAGTCATGCAGTGAAGGGGATCAGAAGACTGATTTGGACTAAAACTAATGCAGGAAATAAAAAAAAAAAAACACAAACATAGAATTAACCAGTATCATCTCACCAACCCAGTAGCATTGGTGCCTTTACAGGGGCAGGAATGAATTGCCAGAAACTAAGGGCTGTTAGGATTACTTCTTTCAACAGCAATGCTGGCTGATGTTTACTTAAAGTACCCATCAAACTATGGCCTCACCTTAACATGGATAAAAATAATATTTAGGCATCGAACATCTAAGAAGGACGCAATCATCTGTAGTTATTCGTAGTTACGCTTTTGTTATTATACATGACGTGTTATTAAAAATGACTTGCAGTAACTAAAATTTAAGTAACTTTAAAGTAAGTAAGTTTTAAATTTAAGTAACTATAAGTAAGAATGCTACTGCAAAACTGTTTACCTTGTTGGTACCTCAGAGAGCCTCTATAGACAGTTAAGTCATTCTCAAAGTCTAGCCTTCCCTTTTGAAATTGCTCACCTACAAGTACCTTGACAAAAAAGCATCTTTCTACACTTTGCAGTATTTAAGTTGAGGGGCCCAGGAATCACAGATTTTTGCTAGCAAACTGTTGTAAGGCATTTGCACAGGTAGTAGCAGCTAGAGGTTTTCAGCAAAAATCGAAATGGTATCTATCACTTGGTGCCATTTCCAGCATATATATTCTCAGATGTCAATGTAATGTCACTCTTGATAAATTTCACACTGACAATAGGACAGCTCGGCCAGGAATACACGTGAGCCGGAAAAAATGTAATGCTCAGGAAAAAGGAAGTTCTAAAAAAAAAAAAAAATTATGTTTAAAAAAAAAAAGAGAGAAAACTTCCTTATTGTAATATATTTCTATAGCTTGTGAAATAACTTCTCACAGAGTTTTCTATTTTGTCTATTCCAAAAAAGAAACATGTGTTTATTGTTGCTGAAAAGGCAATGGATGAGTTAGGCCACAGCAGCCTATAGAGGAAAACAGGATGGCAAAGGAAGGATCTCATGCTCTTTGACCACAAAAGGAGATTGTGAGTGATCAGATACAAAGGCTCTGATAGAAAGTGCAATGGAAGAATTTTTTTTCTCTTGATAAGCATTGTTATTGAATTAACATTTTAAAAATAAACACAGCTGATCAGTTCTCAGCTCTCTAAAAACATCTGTAATATACGTTGTATTTTAAGGGCTTGGTGGAGATGAGACTGACCAATTTGAAGGGCCTATTTTTGGCAGCAACAAGCCATTAGTGAGGAAAAAAGCATTCTTCAATTAAATATGCTGTATTTCAGATTAATATACCAACATGGTATAATTGCTAGCTTTGCTTTGCAATTTTTTTCTTCAGAATGCTCAGGTGGATCCTGTTATTAATTGCACGAGATCAGATTATTTTTGGCCATCAGATCTCATAGTACCAAGCCGCTACTCACTCTCATCAGTGCCCTTACACGGTGGGAAGGGACACGGTGGGAAGGGAGTGGAGAACTTAAATTTTGACTAAATGACTCCACTCACATATTCCACAGCTTACAGGCTTTCTGCCTCCTCACTGCAGTTACCTCGCTTCCCGATTCACTGTAGCACCGTGGGACCGCATGGTGAACTGGATCACCGAGGTGATACAGGCTCATGACTGAAGTGTGTTCACATCACAGAATCAAAACAGACCATCAGTTATATTCCATTATATAGCAGTAGTACGATTCCAGCACACAGTGTAAGCTTTATGTATTTCAACTAATCTCAAGTACTAAAGTATTTAACAGTGCCAACTCTGAACTGATTTTTAAATTAATCCTACCCCTATTGACTTCAATTAAGCCTAGTGCTCTTACCATCCTATCAACATTTCTATAAAGCATTTGATACATTCTTATTTCCTGCGTATCACAACTGGAAAACAGTTTAAAAGGAACAAACCTTACTGAACCAGTCTGGGTTCTTCTTTTTTGTCATGGCAAGTGTGGTGCCAAAACCTGCTATCATTCCTGCTCGCGAAGCCTCGCCAGCGAGCAAGAGGGAGGTTGCACCGGGAACCATTTGTGCTAAAACAAAAGGTTTTTTTTCTTAAAAGGGGGGAAAAAAAAAAAAAAAAACACCAAACCACAAAACCAAACCTGTTCTGAAAATAAAACCTGAAAAATTAAGATCTGTCAGCACATGCTGAAGGGAAAGGCACAGTTGTCTACATTATTTACATTAACTCAATACAGCAAGAAAGCCAGAAAGAATATTTTTAAATAGAGCATTTTGAAAACTAATGACAAGTGTATATATTTTCAAGCCACACATACAAAAAAAAAAATCATTCAAATCCCTGGATGCCTTTTCACAGTACTTCGAAATTTCTCTCTCACTCCAGAGCCAGGCTACGAAAATCATCTCGTTCTGTGGCTATGCCTCACCCCTCCTCAAAAGGAAGATGTAATTATTTTTGTTGCATCGCTTGTTATTTCAAATGGCCACCTGAAAATCCACCAGTACCTTGGAAGACCACTCCATAAGCAACACTTGTTCTTCAGCTTTCTTCGGTTTATGTTCTAACGCTCTATTTAAAAAAAGAAAATTACACTGGCAGGAAGCTTTCCCAAGATAGAAAGCATTTCTCGCTTTTCAGTTCTTTCAGAGTGTTTCCAAAGTCACTTGAGGTCTCTTGATTCCTTCTCGTTCTTGCATCAAAGGCACATGTAGCCATACCTGCCCGCTTTTAAGAAAAAGGCTTGTTACAAAGACTGAGCGCGCTGTACGAAACCATCTGATTCATATTAAAATTAAAAAATTTCAGGGGGTTACAAGTTCTTCTTCCTTTGCAACTACTGATACCCATCCTGTTTTCCCTTTCCTAATACCAGTTAGGTAATTAAGGAACTGGCCTGAATAGGAAGTCAGAAGCAAACCATGTTTATGTGAGGTCTCGCTTTTTAAAAATTAATTATCCTATTACTGTGATGGAGTCGTTTGCTGCACTCGCGTCAATGGGACCTATAAAGCACCTCTTCTGCCTGGGAGCAGGAGGACCTCCCACGCCGTCCGAGCTTTGCACGCCCGCTGCATTTTACATGTCAAGGTCTACTGACCACCGTTTCCCTGGTTTCAGAAATAATAACTGGTCTTAAATGAACTTCTCCTCCAAGAGGAGGAGCTCGATGCACGGCCTCCTCGGGAGGGCCAGGAAAGCGTTGCAAGGGGTGGGCAAAGCCTGCGGCGAGAGGGGACGCTGCCCCTGCGC